GAAAAAAATAAAGACTGCTAAATATTTTTCAGAGAGGCACTTTGGAAGAGGATTGTTTGGAGTAGGGACGGTGGAGGGGAACGAGGTACGGGGGAAGAGAGGAGGGGGTTGGGATGGGAGGTGAGCGGGCATAACCTGTGCCAGCTACGCCACCGAAATGCTAACGAGTTACAAACATCGACGAGCTTTCTGTGAGCAACAGCGACGTAGCAGGATTCTTGTAAAGCGAGAGCATTTCGGAGAAGCACTGCCAGTGTCTCCTAATCTCCCTTTCCATCATCAAATAACCCAGGCTGCAACGCACAGATTTCCGGATTTTCCCACCGAAAATTACACATTTTTTTTTGAGAGGTACGCACGAGAGATCTAAGTGCACATAAGCGATGATTCTATAACAAAGGGATGTTGCATGGCGTGGGAATGTGCTCCCAAAATTTCATCCTCCCAGCTTTTCCCATTGCTGAGTTGAATGTGGGTGGCAGCGTTCACTGGCTTTCTCAAACACACGCATACACACGGAGAGGCCTGACGGTATGCGTTTTTGCATTATGCAAATCCAGAAATGCATAAGATATCATAAGCGTTACACTGGTGGGGTGACGCACTAAAGCGGCACCAGGTAACTGTGCATTCAGACTGCAGTCCCGTCAGTTAACTGCTCCCATGAGGTAGCTTCTGCATTTTCCAGAGCGAAGGACAGATGAACACCAGGCCAATCAGAAGTTGACCAGCACATGAAGTTGGCCGAGCAGAAACTTACACCTCCCTTTCCTTCCAGAAAGCCTGTTTCAGTGTGTCCGTGAAATAAGCTTTTCTGGAAAAAAAGAGGGAGGTGCAGGCCTGCTTCTGCCACCTCATTACGCTAGCGATGTCTTCACAATGCCTCAATCACTACACGTAGGCCCTAACAATAAACCGTCTTATGCATCCTGAAGTGTGTGTCATGCCCTCTCTCACGTGATGCTTGAAGTTCTTTGATTGCAGCAGACGCCGGAAAATGAAAAAAACATCTGCGTTTCGCGAATGTAAAGATGAAAAATGCAGAGAATGGAGGCCGGGGGCAACGGGTGGGGGCTGGACGTAAGCCAAGTATAGTTGATTTTAATGCGCAACTGATCAATGATCAGTGCTGGGAGCGCGAGGCCCTGTTGTTTGTTGATTCGCCCGTATAATAGCAGAATCCGGCGGTTACGGGGAATGTTGGGAGGGGAGGGAGGCTGGCGATGAGGACTTGTTTTTTAGTAGTAGTTTTTGGACTGGAACGAGCGTCGACGCCGCCTATCCGTCATCACGACTTGTACATGTATACTTAATATTTATATATATATATACATATATATATATATATACATATATATATGTGTATGTAAGATGGTTTCACTGCGATCTCTTCAAATTATGCACATTTGGCTGGCAGTGATCGCCAGGCATTGCGTTAAACCGCTTTCTGCATAAGTTCTGTACAGCGTTTGTCAGATGCATCCCGGCTGAGGTGTCTTGCAAGCAGACACGACCATGCTGGCCAAGCAGCGCAGTCTCTGGCCGTCGATATCCCATCCCTTTTGGCACTTCTCAGGTAGCCCCTCTTTCTTTCACAAATGAAATGCGCGTCTTGACAAAAATGTCTGCGTGAAAGTATGTTTGTGTGAATAATTTAACTCAAAAACTAGAAAAAAAAGCCAGTAAGACAACTGCAAAATTACTTTGGCCATCTAGAAGCAGTCGAAACCTAGCTGATCAGTGGAATGCACGAGGACGATGGTGGACAGCGTTTGTGCTAAAAGTAATTATGTGTGAACTCGAAACTTGTTCAGTAGCAAAAGGAGTAGGACGAACGCTTGGCGGGTCTCTTCATGACTACATAAGCAGTCAGATTATCCGCTAGATGGGCCATATCATTACAATAACGCGAGGAAGTAAAATTTGATGGGCAGTGCTTGTTTTTCACTCTACCGATAGTCGGTGTACGGTTGTGTATTCGTTTGTGTTACTTGCAGAAAAATGATCAGTTGGGTGACTTAGGAAGAGGTGACGCACATGTATCGAACAGGCGATGGGAATTTGCAGTCAGGCAGTTCGATCCTGCGCTTAAGGTGTAAAGCCTAGCATCGAAGGGCCTGGCACTGTTGCATTTGGCGTGTAGAAGTGTCCTAGTAATACTGTTTTCTCAAATTCATTTTATGCGCTTTTGCATCTTATGCAAAATGCAAACGAGAGGTTTTTTCCTTCCGCCTGCTTACAAATTCCCAGCTGCCTTTTCTGGAATATTCGTTTTTTGTACCTTGTTGCAGAGGTGCTTGGCTACCTGTGGTGAAAATTGTGGAAAGTTAAAATTTAAAAATTAACCAACGGACAGGAATGTTTCCCACCAGCACAGAGTTTCGAGATGGCCTTATGGGTAGATTAAACTTTCCAAGGAATATGTTTGCGAATAGGAGTGGACTTTGACGATCTGTACTTATTCGTGGAAGCAAGTGTGTTATCTGATTTGCTGTGCGGGTCTGAATTTCCTGACTTTGAGGTAGATGTGTGTGCGGTTGTTATCGTTCTTCCGTATCGTCTACTTTGGTCATTCTAGTACTCATGCGGCTTGAAGGCTAAGGGAGGCGAGCACAAAAGGCTTCCGATCAGCATATATTAAACGATATGTTAGAAGTGTAAAATGAGAAGCGCTAGGATTATTTGTGTGTGTGTGTGTCTGTCTGTCTGTCTTTGATGGTATAGTGTATGGGTGTGTGTGTGTGTGTGGACAGCTGCTAACTGTGTTTATTCACTGTGGTCATTTAACGGCGAAACATTTGTTCGCAAAGTTGCTGTCAAATTCATTTCTCCAAAAGCAGTCAGTTTTCGAATCAGCGGACTCAGACGAGCGCGCATTGGTGCGCTCAGTTGCTCTTCCTGGCTTCTCGGGATGCTACTTGCGCAACTGGCCTCCGCAGCTCGCAGTCATTCTCGCCTGCACATGCGCATCCGCGCCGTTAGGTCCTCGAGCACTGTCTGGCTACCGTAGGGCGGAGGGGTCGGGGAACGAGACATGACCATGCTACCCTGGCGGCTGCACCGCACTGCAGCGTGCCCGG